TCTAAAGATACAATATTAGCTATGAGAACATGGCATCTATAAGAGCTGTAGCTCGCATGAGATCTGCCAGCTGTAATTTTACAGTAAGGACTGAGAAACACAGTGGAGAAGCAAAAATCCAGACTTCACTCACCATCCCAAGCCTCACTTGTGCATGGCTTTGTGTCACCCTATGAGGCAAGTAGAGCAGGGATGTAAAAACCAGGCTGAAAAAGCACATGCAACTGAAGACTGATATACATCACATTCAATAAATTACAACATATCCCTTTTGAAAATAACTTAAGCAGGTATTGAACATATTTTCATTAAACCCAGGTTTCTGTTTTTAATCTTTAAAATTAAAAACAGAAACCTGACACAATTCTAATTGTGTCATATGTTCACAAGTGGAAAATAATTAAATGAAATTACGGATTTTCATCCATCTGTATCATTAATCACTTAATGATAATTGTTCCTATAATATATTAGCTTTTCCAATAGTATTGAAATTGCTAACGCACCTTTTTCTTTTGGACTGGTACAGGATCTCTTCCACTGTGGCTTTAAGGGAGCCAGACTCATCCTCCTTAAGCACTTCCCTGTAGAAATTCAGGAATATCCCATGTAGTTGCATCAGATACAAGCACATGTCCCAACCTGAGAATATTCTCACATTACACATCTTACCATGTCCTTTCATAGCCTCCTTCCCAGCGCTTGGCTCTCTCTGGCTCTTCATCCATTGTGTCTGCCAGTCAAACACAATGAAACAATGATCAAGTCCAAACTATTTAACTGGAACTGCAAAATACCTCTTCATCAACTGTGAGCTGATGAAGAGTGTGTACAGGTATCACACCTCAACAATAATAAAGCTTGAAGAAAAGCTAAAATATATTTCGCTTATAGCTGTTGATTAGGACATCATTGTACCTCTTTAACTGACTGTTAAAATGATCATCTCACATTTAATTTCTTAGGTCAAAAGCTGAAAAGTTTTGGAACCTCTGCTGAAAATCCATTTGTTTGTAACAGTGGGTGCTGATTAACCAGATTTGTGGTCAAATGTTGGATTAGTGATCATTACATATTTGTTATTTTTGTGTTTATTTTTTTCAATATTTTGCAATTCATTTATATGCTTGAAAGATTCACCACCCGTAAGAGACTAAAAATTAATCTCCATGACTAAATATTGTACAGTTACATGACAGACTGAAAAACTCCTAATTAATGTGGATAAAGTCATCCATCACTACTTGGAGTCCGAAACACGCTGAGCTGAGACGAAGCCGCTTTAGTGACAACCACGCAGTAGAACGAGGGCCCAAATGGTACACCATCACAACAAAACCCTTCTCAGGCGGTCACAAAGCTATTGCTACGACCAACCGAAGAGCTCTCGTTGTCTTTAAATACTCAACGGATGTCTCGATGAATCCTATGCTAAGTTAGAGGATTAACTTTTCGCTCCCTTTACTTACCAGAAGTTTCTGTATTATTGTCTTGAAACCAGAGATTTAACTAGCAGTCCAGCGACCAGTTGGTGCACCAGAAAATTCTTTCCGGAAGGAAACACGCTGCAGCGCCGATCCGTGACAGCCCATTAATGACATTTTTATTTAAAACTCCCAGTACAAATTAATACGACGTTTTATTGTGCACAATGCCGTTTACGTTGCAGAGATGAAAATCCTAGAGATATGTCAATTAAAGAACGCCCCAGCAACAACAAAATCAAAATCATATGGTAGTTGTTCAAATGCAATTCAATTTAGTACAGTAAGAAAAACACTTGATAGGCCAGAGATGCATCAACAATCACAAAGTATAACTTCATTTTCCAGCAAGCTGCTGCTCCATTATTGACATGTATCCAAAGAAAGTACTGTAAAACACCTAAAAAGATTTAATCTCAAATTCCAAAACAATCATATAATATGGATAACAAATTCATGCATTAAAACTTTACTGTATGCAAAAGCTAGCTTTAGAATGTCATGTAGAAAGAAAGATGACATTAAAGAATAAAATAAGCCAATATATGGATGCAGATTAATAGCTAGATACAACAGATTTTATACACAGCAATTGAATTTGGAAAGTATTCTTAATGCAAAAATACAAAACTATACTCTCTTAGTCATTTCTTGTGGTGAGAATATAGTGGCAGGCTTGGTTAAGACATCCTTCATTCAGAGATTAAATAATATGCTTCAACTGAAGTAAGTCACAGGAGAATGTTCAGGGGCGGCGGTCGTATTCACTGATTTTGGTCTTGATGTGTGACAGTTTGGATTTCAGATATTTACATTTCCTCTTCTTCATCTGGTAATCTGGGGACTGACAAGAAAAGGACATACAAACTTTTCATCAACGTGAGTTGACATGTCCGAGACAAAGCCAAGTTCAACTTTGAAATATCTCTGGCTTAAAAAAAATAAATTGAATTGCCCGCTCTGTAACAAGATTTATAGAACAGATTAAGGTGTTTAGGTTGTGCCCAGTGCTTTACAATGAGCTGCTGATTCATACAACTGCTGATACAGTGCTTGTCCTCGGCTAAATGAAGAGTAGCTCTTCTCTGACCGCAGGAGCAGATCATCTCCTGACCCTCCCAAATACAAAGCTTCAGCGTTGTGTTTATTTTTATTACAATTTTTTTCTAGTTAATATCTTATTTTTAGCATAATTCCAAAGCACTTTAGTCAAATGTTTTTTTTAATGTTACATATATAAATAAACATGACATTAACTATCATCTAACCCCCTGTGTCGTCCTCTCTGTCCTTCCCTCCACCATTCAAATGAAGACCAAAGGATTTAGAGTCTGAACTAATTAAACCAAGATATCATTTAAAAAGATGAACTACTGTGGCTTCATTCTGTGTTTGTCCTTTACATGCTAAATATGAATTCCATTTTTCATTAAAATTTACAATTTTAGGAAAACCCTATTAAGGGTTTATATCTGCAACCTTCCTCACCATGGTTACGTTTATCTCGTTTTTAGAGGGACCTAACACATTTCATTGACCTTACCATGAACAAAATTGCTTTACTATTCCTAGTGAGTAATGTCCACCCACTGAAGGTTGGGGCATTTTTTTGTCATTTATCCACTAATCTGGATGTGACATGTTTGAGTCGTCAAGACGTATCTCATTAACTAATGTCAATTTGGTAGCATAACTTATTTCATCATGCCATCATAAACAGTTGTAGTATACTGACAACATCCTGGCTAATATTAAAACAGCAAGACATTACCATGTCAACTGGTGACAGTTTAAAGGCAGGCTGGCTCTTTCTATAGTCAGGTTGCATGTGCATCCACTGTATTTGAAAACAAATAATCCCTCTATTTTCATTATTATGGACAATCTTGTTTTTAAAAATATATAACACTTTTGAGACTTTCGTGCAGTAAAATTATTGCTACACAGGAAGATGGAGTGGGAAGCCATCTGTTCTCTGTACTTGCTTTGTCCAGTGATCCTTTAGATTTTTATCTTTTGGGAATGCTTATGGGAGGCTTTTGGGAGGCTTATGTGTTGACTGAGGTAATTAGAACACCCTGTTGCTAAGCAGCTTTTTAACATTTACCTCAGGATACTGCAACAAACGGCGATAATGAAGGCCAACATGTTAACGTCGGTAGCACACTGGATACTACCTTCATCTAGGGTTTCACCTTTCAGAAAAGAATATAAAGGATGCCTTCCATGGTAGGGTGCCCACCTTTATTTTATGGCTGCTTTTGGTAAAAATAAATAAATAAATAAATAAATAAATAAATAAATAAATAAATAAATAAATAAATAATAATAATAATAATA